AGACACATTTACAGCCGCCGAAAACTGCGATAAACACATTGAAACAATCAGCAACACAGCCTTCAGGCTATCAGACTATAACGGTGAAGACAGCTTTCGCGGCAAAGCACTAAAGTACATCTTCCGACTCGGTCGACCGCTCTCGAGCTAATCTTAATCTCCGAAATCAAAGCACTGCTACTGAACTCAACGCAATCAAGATAGTGTTCACGGTAAACTGCTATTCTGCGTGCAGGCATATTTTATCTTTTCACTAGGCTTAGAGAATATTCTCGGGAAGACCGGTAAGGAATTCATTCTAGAATGTTCTCGCTCCGTCTATGGCATATCGCCTATTTTGTCGCCGAACGGGTGATTTCGCACCAAATCAGGCAACCCAGCCTCTCCTTGCTATTTTCTGGCAACCCTAAACCCGCTTTGCGGGAAAGCTATCTTCTCGCAGCTGGGCATTTCCTAACACCAGTGACGCAGTGGGTACAGCAATCAGTACTGGCAGCTGACCTCGCTTGGGTTCGATCCCAGGCGAACGGGGCTGGCTGCATGGTTGGTTTTTGTGGTGTTTTCCATGCGTAAGGTGAATACGAGCCAGTTTTCTCAGAAGGTCCTCTACGAAGGCATCTTTCCTCTCAAACAAATCGCCGTTGTGACTTTGCCATTTTCAATTAACCTAACGGAACCAAAACTTACCTTTTTGCAGATCAAAATATCATCGAAAAGGTCGCGCTGCCCATCTGTTTTGAAACAAAAAATTTTAGCCGTATACAAAAGAACATGAAAACAGAGTTGCGTATGATTACCAAAGTAATGTTCATCGTTCGAGAAATGATCACAATTCGACGATTTCGAGGAAAGTAATAACCACATAACTGCTTCACAGAGCTAATAGCCAGAAATTGGCATAACATTTAATTTAACGAAGAAGGGGGGGGAAAAAAGAAAAAAGAAAAGAAAAGTTTATTGTTAAGTACCCAAAAATATTATACACTGGCAAAGCTTATGGAAGGTTGTTTAAATATTGTGGAGCATCTACATATTAGGTATCTTATTAGGCATTTCGAAGTTATTTTAGTTTAAAAATGTAAAGAAGAGTTTAAAAAAGATGGCATCATCAGTGCTGTCGGTACATTATGGTATTGCAAACATTTTCCGTAATCGCAGCTTTTAGCGCATTTTAATAAAAAAAATAATGGGTAATATTAATCTCTTAAATATTGTGATGCTGTTTATATAATAAAAATCAAAGAAAGAAATTGTGGTAACGGATTACACTTACCGATCATTCATGTAGGAAAGGCAAGGGCACGGAATGTCTACAGAACTGTATTTCATCTACAACCGCAGTTACACAATGAATTTCAGACAACGGTTACTAACGTATATTCAAGCGTATAAAACGCACCGGTGTATAACGTGCACCTATAATTTCAAACTACATTTTTTTAATTTCTAGGTATATTCGCCGTATAACGTTCACTCATTTCTTTACGAAGAAACGTGAAAGATACATGCGTGATGCTCTTATCTTTTGAAGTCATTCATTCGAAAAGTTTTACCAGGTTTTCGAGCAATGGTATACTGAATTGATAAGAGATAAGGGGAGCAATATATGTGTGGGGTAAATGCTTGATGGAGTAAATAAATCTGCAAAGAGAGTGGGTTGTATTCAGTGCAGGTGTGTACAAGAGTGTTATTCTAGGGTTTCGAGAAAAGGGGGCCATAATTTGGGATAAGACTACCGATTAGAATGAATTCGCGGTATTAGGAGTAAGACGCTTTCTCTTTCAGTAGTCGTTTGAAACCATAATTTTGAAGTGAACATCGAAAGCTTTAGTAAATCGCATTTGCTTTAGTTGAAATGTGTTTCTTTTAGTACTAAATAATGAAAAAAAAACACATATTTTCAAATGCAGAGTCATTCAGTTTGAAAAAGAAAATGGAAATCGTACTTCAGCAAAGATGTTTGGTGTTTTTGATTGCTCCATACGTGAGTGGAAATCAAACTAATTATTATGCCAAAGAATAAAGGAATAACGAAATGCCCTATCCTAGAAGAAAGTGCTGCGAGGCGGGTCCTAGAAAATCACCAGAATGTATTAATTGTAAAAAGAAACAATGTACGTTTATTTGCCTTAAAAAGGGTATATGGTATTTCTCCCGCCTTCTTAACATACCTTCGTAGTGTAGTGGTCAGTACACTCGACGCGTATTGGAGAAGTCCGTGGTTTGAGTCCCGGCGGGGGCGTTGCTCATTTTTCATCTTTCCTGCTTCGAAAAAAATCCTAATGTCTCTGCAGTGGTGCCCGAACTAAAAGGTAGCGAATGATGATTCTTTTTGGCGATTGGGTTCCCTAAAATTCCAGTTGCCTTTTAAAAGGAGGAGTATATAAGGTATTTCTCCCGCCTCCTTATCATGCCTTCGTGGTGTTGTGGTCAGCACGCTCGACGCATATTCTAGAGGTCCGTGTTCGAGTCCCGGCGAGGACATTGTTCATTTTGCATTTTTCCTGTTTCGAAAAAAATCCTAATGACTCTACAAGGGCAAAAAAGAATGCAAGTAAAAGTGGAAACTATAAAATAGCTTTGAGTTGGTGTAGCCGATTTATGGTACAGAAAAATTTAGCTTTACGACAAAAAAACAAAAGTTTCGCAAAGGCTTGCGAAAGATTTATATAACAAATTGATATGTTTCCAGACGTATATTACTGACCTACGAAGGGGAAAAGATTATTTACTATCGTATATTATAAATATGGATGAAACTTCAGTAATGTTTTATATGGTAAGAAATAACATATTTGATGTGAAAGGAACAAAAACAACAGGCAAGAAAATTTTCACCTCACCATAGTGCTCTCCTCTTTAGCATACGGTAGAAAATTAAAACCAGTGGTTATTTTTAAAAGAAAGTTGATGCCGAGACGTAATTTTTAAATCGTGTATTAATTCACGTTCACGAGAAAGAGTGGATGGATGAAAAGGAAAACGAGATATTGGATAAGAAATGTGTTGTCAAAAAAGTTCTGTTACCTTAAAGAATCCAGAAAGTCTTTTAGTTTTCAGGCGGATTAGTTCAGTCTTTAGATGTGTGTTTCAGTAAAAGATTCAAAGAAAATTTAAAACAACCAGGTGAAATACGTAGATCTTAGAAGACGAAAAAACATTTAAAAATGGAAGCCAAATACGTCATGCCAGTCTAGAAATAGTGTGTGAGTGGTTAATAAAAGCATGGAATAAAGTTAACCCCGACATAATTCAAAGTCATTTAAAAATGTAGTATGTCTAACAATCTGGATGGAACAGAAGGTGATTATTTATTTGTGGATCAGCGTAACAGTGAGGCTGAAGATGAAACAGAACTCAACGATGTGCCTCAAGATATAAGGGAAGACGAATATGGCAAACTTTTCATATGATCCGATAATTAACATTTTTAAATTCATACGTTATGTCATTTCTCTTAAATAAATAACATTGAGGTATATCTAGAAATCTAATATTTGTATGTTCATCTTTTCGTTATTTTTAAATCTATCATTTTTATATCCGACGTATAACACGCACCTGTAAATTTCGGTCTTTTTTTGTTTGTTTGTTTGTTTGTTTTTGTTTACTAAAAGTGCGCTGTATAAGCCATAACATACTGTATATTGCTTTGAAATGGTTTATCTATTTACAGAAATGTAAAAAGAGAATTTTGCATTGCAAAACAAAGAGAAGGATGATTTCCTAGCATACAAACTTGCAAACTCTTAATGCTATTAAAACTGAAAACTTGTGGTGTATGTTTGCAAAAAGATATGAAAATAAAAGGAAGACATATATACATTACAGTAAGCAGAAAATAACAACAGCGAGTATGAAGTTTAATTTAACGCAAAACGTTTTGTAGATCTTTCCCAAACATTAAATAACTGCGTTCAAACAATTGCAGAGATGCTGCGTTTTCGCAATAGCCCAAAGCTTACATTTGTTTTTTTACAGAATAGGTACACTGCGTTATTTGGACATACAGTAAAACACAAAATCAGTTTCATGTTAATTTTTCAGTTATTTCATTTTGGCAGAAAATGGTTTAAACACATGCATATGCAATGTGCTGAAATTATGGGTTCTCGTCCAATGACCTAAGTCAGAGCTATATCCTATGTGATAGGACGGAATACTTCGGAGCGCCATTCGATACTAAACGCTGTCTTTCCCCTTGCAAATGTGTGTTCACACATTCGTAATTGCGGTTTTATATGGGCTACTTTGTTTAAAAATGAGCAATCTAAAGGAAAAGAATTGTTCAGACATGAATGATTTTTCATTTTCTTATTCTTGTCTACTTTCTTATATGCCATATAGAGATTAATTTTTCGTTTATCGGGGTTATTTTGCGACCAATTGGGCAAGAGAAAAAATGAGAACCAGGTTAGAGTTCATCTCTGCGTACACTTCATTCAGCAGCAATTAAGTAATTATGCATACTGGATTATCTCTTGATCCCTATTTAAAAGTATTGGATATTTTAACACGTTTAGATTTACTTTACATAGCTGTCTACTGTATATCTGGAGGAAGTTGTAACGTCAATAAATGAGTGTTTAAATTCTTAAAAAAGATCAGTGCAGATCTTGAATGGAGGAAGTGAAGCATACCGGGAGTTAAAAACTAGAATGATTACACTGTATTCAGAATGAAATATTAAGGAAGAATAAAAAATTAATATAACCCTGAACACGCGTATGGGCTCATGTTTCAAGTTTTCTGTAATGAACCGGACCATTTATATCGGGGTTTAAAAAATATCGAGTATGGTTTATCACAAACATTCGGTGAAATAACATGAATCTTCTCCCAATCAAAGCGTGCTCTGTTAGGCAAATCATCCGCATGCCTCCATTTTTGTTGACCGTTCCTGGAAGGACATCTTAATCGCACGAATATGTCATCCGGCTCGTAAAACTTTCTGCGGTTCTCCTTCTTGAATTAATATTTACATTTTGGTTTCTTTTCAGATGTGTCATTTTGGCCTTCACCGTTGGAATTGTGTTCTATTGCGTCTACACTGTCTCCAGAGCCCCAGTCAGTGGAATTACATCCGGCCATTTGGAATCTGGCAACGCACGTGAGTAGCATTCTGTTGACTCCGCCCATCGTCGACGGCATCCATCATTCCGTTGTTATAAAGTTATTTTTCTTTTCCTTTCACAATATCTGCTAAATTCTTATTTTTTTTCCTTTTTTGGCTTGCCGTACCACATCTGGGCATTATTTTCGTGAAGTCTCAACTCAAGTGGTATTTTTTTATCTGGAGCGACTTTTTCGCATGTATCTCAAGACAAGTTCCATGAGCCTTGATTTACTCATATTTTATTTGTTTTAAGCATTTTCTTGAGAAATGTTTTCCGTAACTAGCAGTTCAAACCCAGTACATCAGAAGATTTGGAAAGAAATCTAGAATTAAGATACAGGTGTGAGGAGCGAAATTCTTCGAAATTTTCCAACATTTCTTACCTTGATACTTGATTTTGCAATCACAGTTCCTTCATTCACCTATCCTACTCTGTGGTCTCTCTTATCCCCCCCCAAAACTTTTTAATTCAGCTTGCTGTTTTTTGGATGCTTGAAAGAAGGAATGTTTTTACGTGAGTGCATGTTTTCTAACTATGGCATCTGCACTGCTTTGAACTAAAAAAAAATTTAAATTACCTTCTGTTATTTAAAAATAAACTAAGCAGCAAGTGCACTAACAACTAATTATAGAATTTAAAATTCAAGATCTGAAAATTGGTTTCGTGTACTGCATTTATTTAAAGATACTATTCGCTTCGGGTATTACTTTTATCTAAAATAAACACAACATATGATTTTATTAGGTGAATTTTCAAGTCCTGCAAAACAGAAATTGTTCCACTTGTAGGTTTGATTTGGTTTGGTTTATTGAGATTACGGCAAAGCGCACTAGGGCTATCTGCCTAAGGGAAGGGATGCCTTCGTGGAGAACTTTGTATGGAAAACTGGGTCGTATATACGTTACACATGTTGTAGACCACGAAAACGTCCATGCAGCCAGCCCGTTCGCCTGGAATCGAACCCATGTCTGAACTACCAGTGTTCAGCGAGTTAACGTCTCGGCGGTGTTTAACCTTGCTTTGCTTGCAGGAAATATTTGTTGCAAGCTTCAGAGCAAAGAATCCATTAAAAAATGCACAATAATTAATAGAAGTTGTTCCCAATTTTTTCCTGGGAAATATTTATTGCAATTTCATCAGTAAGCAACCCAAGGAAGAAAATAAATATACATTTACATGGGAATAATCAAGCCTTTTTTTTTGTTAAATAAATGCAAAAGACTCTGTGGAGTATTATTTTATGACGGAAGAGCAAGCCTTTTGTCTTTAAAAAAATTATATAAAGTATATAAATAAAGAACACCGTTTGGCACAACAGTTTTCAACTACAGTTTTAATCTTGAATATCTGAAGATTAATTATTAAACTGAATACACCTCACCTAACTGTGCCGGTTAAATGCCCTATGGGCTAAATTTCCGTGTCGGCTAAATGCCTGCTTGGCTAAATGTCCTGTCGGTGAAATGTCCTGTCGACTAAATGTCCCTGTCGGCTAAGTGTCCTATCAGCTAAATGCCCGTACCGGTTAAATGTCCTGCCCGCTATATGTCGATGTTAGCTAAATGTAACTATCGGCTAAATGCGTCCTGTTGGCCAACTGCCCGTGTCGGCTAAATGTCTTGTCGGCTGATTGTCCTGTTCGCTAACTGTCTGTGTCTGTTAAAAATTAATTTACCAATACAATTTAGTAAATATGCAACTGACCTTTAAGTGGAAGTGATTAATTTCCAATTTAATGATTTTTCTCGAAAGAAAATATAAGAGAAGTATATAACAAGAATTTTACTAAACTGCCTTACAAGCGATTGAAAGTTTGTGAATTTATTTAGCAATGCTGTATCTGCATAAAGTTTTTTCAAAGTTGATGCATACTGAATCGGACCATCGATTGGCAACAGAGAGGTGAATATTTGTACTCGATTTTGATTATATGAAAAGTAAATTTTGTTTTCAAGTGAAGGAAAATATTATCTTTTCTCTACTAAATAATTCCATTCACCTCATTAATGAAGAATAAGGCAACAAATAATTGCACTTACTACAATGAGATTTTGAATTTTTTTAATTAAAATTATGTAGAAAACCTATTTGTTTAATCAGTATCACCTAGGTAGTAATTTCACTTTTAACTTCGAGCTCGCCAAGCCCAATGATATATGATACATGATCATTTAAAAAAGGTTTAGCTACATTGTTCTAGACTGAATTTTCATGTCTATGAACGCTTAGCGTGCAGCGGAATCTTGATTGTCTAGCTCAGTGGTCGGCAAAATGTGGCTGAATTGGCTCCTTGAGTATGCTCTTCAGCACACGCGGACGCGCGTGCGTAAGAGCAAGAAAATCTTGAAAATACAACACAAAGGCCGTCAAATTTTTCCCAAGCATGAAAACAATTGAAAACATATCCGCCAATGTCATTCCTAGGAAATTTTTTCACACCGATCTTAGCGTTCTGATTGTACTTATTATACATCAAATTGTGCTTTCATAAAAATTATCACATGCCAAATTTTAACTAATGAAATGCTTTGAATTAATATACTATTCAATGGCAATTTTATCTTAAATGAGAAGCCAAAAAACTTAAAATCAGGATTTCGAGCTTCTGGACATTTTAAATTTGAAGCTCTTTTCAGTGTCTGAACCAAAATGTTTCTAGCAACTACAATTAGGACACATAAAATACATTGACGATATCTGGGTTGCATATAATATGAAAACAACTTCAAATTGGAAATGTCTAAAAACTAAAAATTGAGATTTTTTGACACGAAATTAATTTTTACGTTATTTGGTGTATCAAGTTAAAATTACCATTGTACTGATTCTAGTAAGATTTTTAGATTTTAGTACTAGTAGATAAATGGGCCATTATACTGATTTCAGTACAATGGCTCATTTATCAGTTGACGTGGTACTTGTTTACCATTGTATCATTTACCAAGAAGAGCTTTGTGCGCAAACATTTCCAGAAGAAATTGGCAAAATTATGGAATTGATTATAAAGATTATCGACTCCATTTTTATAGTTAAAACTCTTAATCATAGCCAGTTTAAAGAATTTTTAATTGAAATGGAAAGTGAGTACGCAAATCTTCTGCTGCAAAAAAAGTGCGTTGGTTATCAAGAGGAAACGCTTTGAAATGTTTCGCGTCCTTATTAAAAGAAATTAAGCATTTCTACTTCAAAAGGGTGTTTATTATACAGAATTAACGAATGATCAGTGGGTCCAAAAAATTCATTTCATGGTACACGTTACATCTTATCTAAATCAGCTTAATCAAAAACTACAGGTAAAAGGGAACACAATTTTTTCGATGTTAGAAGTTATTTCATTTGAAAACAAATTTTTTCTTTGTGGTCAAGATTTTGAAAAAGGAACTTTAATTCACTTTCCTAGCCTGTTGAAACATCGCCAAGAAAATAATTCTGATGTTGACATTTGCTATTTCATGACATCGGCAACTTTGAAATCCCTTTGCTGGATTTAAAAAACAAAAATTTGCGGAACTCGAAATTTAAACGTCTTAGCGCTGATATAAAAAACATTGGAGAAAAACAAATGTGAGCTTAGTTCACAGCACAAATGGTCTGCTCTTTGAAAGTGGTTCAAGCTTTTTATCTGCTGGAGAAAGAAGATATGTTGATTTTTAACATAAAGAAGAGTATTCCTGATTAATATAATCAGTTGAAAAAAACTAGCTTTAGCTGTTCTTTCCTTATTTGTGTCTACATATTCATGCGAAGAATCATTTTCAAGCATGAACCTTATAAAGAATTAATTGAGAAGTCATCTTATTGATGAAAACTTGGAATCATGCTTAAAATTAAAAACAAAAACATACAAACCTGAGTTACACAAACTTTCCAAGGAGATGTGAGGCTTGTTCACATAAGTATTTATTTGTCATTATCATGATCTAAGTTTTGAATATCTTACAGTTTTATTTTGTCTATAAATAGTATCTTTGTTAACTTAACATCAAGTTTCATTCGACATACCTATATAGTTTAATTCATACTTAAATATTAAAGTATTAAGCTAATTTTATGGAGTGCTGTGGAGTGAAAAAGAATGTAGTGTTTAGAACTGAGAAAGGTATGTTAAGAGGGTTTGGATATATATAGAGGATGAACGAAAGAAGATACACGAAACGAGTATACAAGACAAGTGTGTATGGGAAAGTTGAAAGAGGGTCGACCTCAGAAAACATAACGTTGAATCAGATTGAGGACGTTCTTAGTAAAGGGCAGCCTAAGAATACCCTAATTAAGTGAATAACAATATACCTACCTATATAATTTAAGTTTAAAAAATGGGACTCTCAAAAGAGATTTCAGTCGTTGAACTGTTGATAATTGGTTCTGTTAACTAATGAGTTCGCCGACCACTGGTCTAGATGATGCGTTGTGTGAACTCTCTTAAATTGTTTGTACATATTCTGTTGACAAACTGAAGCCAAGATGCTCATGTGTCAGGTAAAATTCTTTGAAAACTTCTGATCGTGTTCGATAGTTTAGATCTTGGATGTCTAAGACTGCTTTTAATCACTCTTCTATTCGCTTGTCTTACCGTTCCTTTCTCTTTCAATATAGACTTATTTATTATTCAATCTGCTTCTGTTTTGGGGGTCTGGATGGAAAAGTATATTTTGTGGATATATTATTTCCATTTATGTTATCCAAAAGCGAACGAACTCTATTCTCATTCAAATTAAAAATCTGATGTAGACACCACATGACTTCTTGATAAATGTTTAAATGAAACATTTATCATCTTAAGACACAATAACACGCCGAATAAATACTAATTCAGAAATCAAACAACAAAAATCAGCGTTATATTTACAAAGTTTTCACAGGACTAGTTTCGATGGTTTTACCGAACCACCATCTTCAGCTGCGATGATTAGCCGTAGGTTTAAGTTATGCGGGTTTTGTTTGAGACTGAGTATGTATCTATGAATATACAGATATCACGAAAAAACTCCTT